TATCTAACTGTTACTGAGGGGGGGCAGTACCCAACATATAGGAGCTTCGCGGAAGGCTAATATGGGGGCCGGAGTGATGAGCAAGGTTTCCTTCTGCATTTTTAGAACACGCCCCAAAGCGCACTCCTATTTACTGAGGCCCTAAGCCCTAAAGCTCAAACTAAGTGCCCTAAACCTTGAACCCTAAACCCAGGACTCCCTGGACTTCAACCAAAAAACCCTTAAACTCTAAACCCTAAACCCTGAACCGTGACAGTAGGGCCCTGAGCCCTAGTCTCCGCTTTAGGGTTGGGATTGCTGGTTTTTGAAGGGTCGGTGAGCGAATTCATCGCAACAGCTTGTGTTTCCAAGTTCGTAGTAATAACCCCTACCTCCAAACTTAGGACCATGATGTAGTCATATGATAGTCATAGGTTCCTTACTTTGGAGGTTAGGCTAACCAACATCCCTTTCTTAGTTAGGGTAGGTTAAAATGAAGCACTCGATTCTGAGGGTAACAAGAGTTGCAACTGAGAACTCACAGAAACCTTTCTGTTCGATGCAGGTCCAACTTAAACCGTTGAACCCCCTAAACCCGAACCCTATATGAGCGCAAAACCCTTTGAACCCTACACGCCCTAAAACTACTGGAGGCCCTACATCCTGGAAACCCCAAACCCCAAATCCTGCCTCGCCACGACTGCAAGCGCTTGTAGGAGTTTCAACACGGCTTTGGGTCTAGGGTCTTTAGGGCTTAAATTAAAGAATGCCCCCACACAATCCTCCTGTAATCCCTATATATGGGAGTTTCCAAAAGGTTTTTAGGGGACTCTCTACTGATGGAAGCATGATATAAATCCTAAACCCTGATCCCTAACCCCTAAACCCTGATCCCCATGTAGAGAAACTGCCATCTGAGGTGCCGGGAAGCTACTCGCCAAAGCCTTGCCCGAGAAGGCCGCTGGAACGGATTGTGGCATGGGGGTCATGGGTTTAGGGTCTAGGGTTTAGGGTTTAGGGATGGGGTGGTTCCTCTTCGAAAGGGTACACCAGAGGCTAATTGGGGGTCTCCCAAAATTAGGGATACCTTTTTGGGGGGTCCATGTAATCAGGATCATCGTCTGTATTGGGGTCCCCCTATGTGGGGAAACTAGCATCTAGGGATTATCAAAGGACTTGGGTTGTCCCTATCCCTAAATCTTAAATCTTAAGCCCTAAACCCAAAACCTTAGGGAGTGTGGCAGACATATTGAGAAACGTCCGTGTCCACCCGGTTTTCTGGGTTGCTTTTAAGGAACTTAACTTAAGTTACTTTATTACCACCCCGATAATGGAGAATCAGATGGCAAAGAAAGTGGAATATGACCGCCAGAATCAACGTCTCGCCCTCACGTGAAATCCTATTGCTGGGGTGTGTGGGGGGGGGGGATATTGCAAAGAATTATTGGGAATCTATGGGATCTAACTGATAAGGTCAACTGAAAGCTCGATCATAAAGAACTAAAGTCTGAATAAAATCGAAAGCTAATTACAATAAACTGAAATCTAATTACAGTCCAAAGAATTGCAATGCAATGAAACCGGGGGAAAATCGATTTGCACGCAGTCACAATGAAATCAAAATCCGTTTACACTGGAGGGTCTCTGGCAGGAGTATGTATTGTTGGGAAGAATTATTACTTGGGGAATCGCGTATGTACCTAGAATGCCGACATGACAACATCTCTGCCCTGAAAGACGTGTGGAACAACCCTGTGCAAGCTGAAGCCGTAGACGGCCACCACAATCCCAACCCATATGTGCGTTCCTAGTAGCAAAGTCTTAGCCCAACATTGGGGTTTTAAGCCTTCGGGTTTTTAAGGTTTAGGTCATGAGGGCATGTAGAAGGTTACGTTCGATTTGATAGGTTCGTTGGATGATGTTGGGGGTTGCTGAAAAGTCTTGTTGCAACAGATGCATACCCAAAAACCAGCCTGTACCCAAGCTTTGCATTGAGGTTGTCGGCCAGAAAGCCAAGGATCCACTAGTGCGGTTTAAGGTTTAGGGCTTAGGGATTCCTTGACATGTCTGGTTTAATCGCTTGTGTAAATCCGGACGAAAGTCCTTCTGAACTAGCTGACCAGCAATTGAATGAATCCGAGCTTTAAGTCCTAAACCCTAAACCCCAAACCATTAGGGTTTGGGGTTTAGGGTTTAGGAAAGCAAACCCCAGGCCCAAAGCTCTCTTAAACCCTCAACCCGATGCCTGCCTTTAAGGCGAAGGGCGACAAGGGCGAAGGAAATGGCAAAGACAAAGCAGGCTCGGTCCTGAGGGTTGCTGTTTAGGGTCAAAAAGGCTCAGAGGTTTTCAGTTTATACCCTCAACTGCAAACCCAAAATCCTAAACTCCTGTGGATGTTCACTCATTCTTGAGCTGCACCGTGGTGAGAGTAGCTGTTCAGAGGACATGTTGCCTAGCTTAGCTTTGGACTGAACCGCAGGCGCCGTGAGCTCAAACCAAAATTTCACTGCTTTGTTTCGTGGTTGCTAGCAGTCTCAAACTGGTAGCGGAGCCTTCCATTCCCCTGAATCTCGGGGCGAGTCGGTTGGTCTCCTACTGGGACTCTAGCGCGCCATTGACACTCCTTTGCCTGGTTTTCTACCCTACTTAGGGGAATTACTTGGGCGGTTGTGTGAGTGAGCTTGTGATCCTACCTTTGGAAAACAGCCCATCCATTGACCATTGTGCCATCCATAGGCCACCGCGCCTCAGTATCTTTCTGTCACTCCTTGTCCGACCTCGGTCGGCACCTCGGCAGTAGATACAATGTCCGTGGCAGGACTGCGATTTAGTGCCAAAGAGCACTACGGTACCCCACTTGAGACCAAAGTGGTTCCTATATATATATATATATAT